CACGAGGAAAAGGGGTTAGAGATGTAATTTGGATTTGAAATCTCTTTTTGTAGGGTCATGGGATATCCTGCCTTGGAAGGATCATCAAATCCAACTCCTGGCCCTGCACAGGACATCCCAAATTCCTCGTTTGCCTGTATCCATGTCTCACAACAGACACTGCTGCTTTGACCATGGAGCCAGAAAACATGAGGAAAAGGGGTTTAGATATGTAATTTGGATGTGAAATCTCTTTTTGTAGGRTCATGGGATATCYTGACTTGGAAGGGGGCCAAAAAGATCACAAATCCAACTCCTGGTCCTGCAGGACACCCCAAATTCCCCCAGTTTGCATAGATCCATGTCTCACAGGAGGCAGTGCTGCTGGGGAGGTAGGAAACATGAGGAAAAGGGGGTTAGAGCCATGATTTGGATGTGAAATCTCTTTTTGTAGGATCATGGAATATTCTGAGTTGGAAAGGAACCACAGGGATCATCAGATCCAACTCCTGGCCCTGCACAAATTCCCAGTTTGCAAATTTGACCCCAAATTCCCCCAGTTTGCYTCTATCCATGTCTCAGGAGGCAGCACTACTCTGACCTGGGGAGGCAGAAAACATGAGGAAAAGGATTTTAGCGCCATGATTTGGATCTGAAATCTCTTATTGTAGGTGTAGTTTTTTGTAACATTCCAGTGGGCAAAAAATAAAAACCCAGCAGGGGAAGGAGAATCAGAAAGGGAAAAAGCAGCTGGTCCGACTCAGCCGCTCTCGGAACCGCAGCAAAATCAAAACTGCGGGTGGAGGATGCGCAAGGAGCGTTTGCTCCAAGTCCTGCACCCATTTGGTGAACAATTCCCAGTAAATCCCAGTGCTGTGGGCCTCATTTTCCAGTTTTGGGGTTTTTTTCTGARGTTCTGATGGCAGGGATGGAGGTCAGARCTGCACGGTACTCACGGAGTGGAGGTTGCGCATCCTTTCCTCCGCGGCGCCGCGTCCCGGGCGCGGAGCGGCTCCATCGTCCCCAGGAGTCCTGGAGGAGTTCGGAGAATTTGATTTTAATTTTTACCAGGGAAATTCTCAGCTTCAAAGGCCTGGAGAGAGAAAATATCCTGGTGATGCACAGAAACCATCCTGAAATGCTGGTTTGGAGCATCATTAACCCTCTCAGCTCATTTAATCCGAAATATCTGAGCCATCATTTGGATTTGAAATCTCTTTTCATACAATCACGGGATGCCCTGAGTTGGAAGGATCATCAAATTTAAATAAATAACTCATTTACTCCAAAAAAACCCTGGAATTCTCTGGAATTACACCCAGGAACCCAAACGTCTTAGACACATCACACCCAAGAGGTGCTCTGGAATTTAATTCTCTGCTTTTTATTTATTTATTCTTTTTCTTGGGCAGGCTGTAAAATCTGCTGATGAAATGTTTCATTTCCCACCTTTTTGCCTCCCTGAGCTTCCTTTTTTCCCTCCTCTTTCCTCTTTTCTCCTCAGTTCTAGATATAAAAAATGGTGGAATTTTTTCCTTTCCTGCCTTTTTTTCCCTCCTCYTCCCTCTTTTCCCCTCAGTTCTAGATATAAAATCCAGTGGATTTTTTTTCCTTTCCCACCTTTTCTTCCCTCTTTTCTCCCCAGTTCTACATACAAAAAACAGTGGAATTTTTTCCGTTCCCACCTTTTTATCACCTCCTCTTTCCTCTTAATTTTTCTCCCCAGGCCTGGATATAAAAACCAGTAGATTTTGCTCCTTTCCCACCTTTTTTTCCCTCATTTTCCCTCTTTTCTTCTCACTTCCAGACATAATTTTTTTTTTTTTACAATTTTTTTTTTTAGAAACACCGTGCTAACACCGACAGCCTTCATTTACATAAAAGAATCCTAATTATGTTGGATCATCAACATCTGTCATTCTGCTCGCTGCCATATGCGACAGTGGGGGAAATTTAACCCTTCAGCTCCCCAAAACATGAAATTTGTTGGGTGGGATGAAAAAAAAAATTGGTTTTAGAAGTTAAATTATCGAGGGATTAATGAAGCCGGTTGTGCAAAGTTTCAGCACGTGAAATTTTTAAAAAATGTGGGATTTATTCTGAATTTCTGAGAGCTGGAGGCTCTCAGGGAATCGATCCCAAAGCAGATTCAGAGTGTTAAGGAACAGRGCATAAATCAGAACCCCTTCTAAAAAAGGGGAACAAATTCCAAACAMCTCTGCCAGGTCACAGAGCAGCTTTGTTACACCGAAATTCAGTAATTTTCTGCACAAAAAGCACTTTTGATGCTGCCTGGGATATTCCCCACCTGATTCCCTTTAGGAATCTGCAGATAATTC